GTCATGGCGTTATTGGTACCAGAGTGGGTCCTCTCTCTCGCTGTTCAACAGTGGTTAGCCGCAAGTAGAATTGTCATCAAGGGTGGAGGTGAGTCTATCCTGAGTCAAAGTACCTTAAACTAAAGCAGCTTTAGGCGAGCGTTGGACACCGATGCAAGCATTCTTTGTTATCATGGGGGGTTTCTATGCTTATAAGCGAGAACCCGGCCGGCGACCTGGATCCGAGCAACCTTGCTACCCATTGAGCGGAGATACAATGCTCAAGCTCGTGCGGCAAGGCAAAGTTGCATTGCCGTCAGAAGAAGAGATTGACGATAGAAACAAGAGCGATTGGTTTGCAAAGCTCCTCGTACTCTTTCAGACCACCTGGTTCGTGGCCCAGTGCATCGCTCGAAAAAAGGAGGGGTTGCCGTTGACAGAGCTAGAGATCGTGACGCTCGCCTATACGGTCGTAAACTTTGGCACGTCCCTTGCGTGGTGGAGCAAGCCCCGGAACGTCAATCGACCGATTGCTATCGTCTCCCTGCGAAGCGCGATTGCGCAAAAGCGGGAGACGAATAGAGAGAGCGATATCGTGGACGAGGATCCCCCCAGCTGGGACCGAGCAGCTCGACTGCTTTTACCTGGTTTTGATAGCGATGTTGACGTCGAGTCGCTGAGAGCCGTCCCGATATTCTACTCTGGCAAACTCGATTGGGCGCAGACCAAACAAGCAACAAAGAGCTGGGCGTTGTTTAATATAGCCACGTTGCTAGCGGGTGTGCTGTTTGCTGGGATCCACCTTAGCGCGTGGTTTGTTTCGTTTCCTTCTCGGACCGAGCAAATCTTGTGGCGAGTTTCTTCGGTGGTGATGCTCTCTGTACCTGTATTACTCTGCTTGAGCACATTAGTAGTACTAGTCAGGACAAGATGCTTTTCTGAAAAGTCGGGTTTATCGTGGCTCGTTGACACGATAGCGTCTAGTCTTTTCTTTCTCTGCTTCCCCGCTGCATTCTTTTACGTTGTGGCCAGAGTCATAACTCTATATCTAGCATTCAAGACGCTGGACTCTCTTCCTGAAGAAGCTTTTCGTACCGTTTCTTGGACCAAGTTTTTTCCCCACGTGTAGACTACCGTGTATCACGTCCAATTTGTAATGCATAGTGTTAGTGTCGGGCTAGTCCCAAACTTTTACAAGTCCACGTTTCGTTGTGAGCCTAGATGAAGCCCAGATAGTGAACCTAAGGCTCACGGCTTCCCAAGCACAGCGAAAGGGGAATGGCACAGTCCAGCGCAACTAATCCAGTAGTACAAACTTTTCTCGAGAAAGATTATTGGAATGGTCGTTGACCAATCGCTATCTGCATATCTTATGCTCGACAAGCAAAGTTGGGTTTATCCCAATATAATATACCTCGTGTATCATATTCTTTCAGGAATACTTGACCTCTGATTTTTACGAGTATATTTTCTGAAATTTTGATATCACAATGAAAGGTCACATCTAGGGGCTAACAGGGCCAAACACAAACAAACTCTCTCCACCAACCCGCCTGTGCCCCGGTGAACCGA